GATACCACCAGAGAAAGAGGAAGTAAAAAAATTTAAAGAAAAAAAAAGTCTGGCCCCCATAAATAGAAATGGATAAAAAAAACTGAAGGTTTAATGTCACTTTAAGCTCAGAACCCACATTTGTAAACCAAACATGTCAAAGGCAAATGATTTTAAAAAAATCTTTATTAAATTTCAGCTAAATGGCAAGTTGCGTCACATTACACCAAAACAATTTCTATTTAGCATTTGTAAATGTAGGATTTGTTTGTTTGCTGTTTAGTGAGCAGTCAGGCGACATAGGAAGCTGCAAAGCTGTGATGTCTCCATAAAGAGGACCTGTTTGGTGAACTGGCTATTACATAGGGGATTCCTTAGTCCCCTATGTTATAGCAATAAAGTTGTCTAAAAAAAGTAAAAAAAAAAAAAATTACAACATTAAAAAATAAAGAAGCTAAAAAAAATATTCACAAATAACAATTAAAAAAAAGAACACAAAAAATGTTTTAAAGTCCCCCGCCCCCCCACATATACATGCAAACATGCGTCGGGTGCGCCTATGTACGAAAACGACGATTGCGCCCATTATGCAGCACATGTTACATATCGCCGCGAACGTCGGAGTGAGAGCAATAATTTTAGGGCCATCAATCACTGATAACACTAAACTGATGAGTGGTAAAAACGTTTAAAGTGTCGCCTAATGCCAATTTTGGTTGTGGTCGTTTTCTGCGATTTCGCGGGTGTGCGCAATTTTAAAGGTTGACATGTTTAGTGTCTATTTACCCGACGTGACCCCGTCTTTTATATTATACCAAAAAATTGGGGTGAAAATAAATGTTTCATAACATTTTATAGGGAAACATGTTTTTTTCAATATTTAGGGTACTTTTTTTGTTATATAGTAAAAAATAAAAACCCCAGTGGTGATTAAATACCACCAAAAGAAAGCTCTATCTGTCCCCAAAAAATGGTATACAATTCATTTCAGTACAGCGTTGCATGACGGAATAAACGTCAGTCAAAGTACCGCAGCGCTGAATACTGAAAAATGGCCTGGCCAGGAAGGGGGTGAAACACCCCGGTCTTCAAGTGGTTAAACTTTAATATTGTAAATAGTGACCAACTAATCCCCGCAAATTCACCCAACTGGTGATCTGACCACCACTGCAATGGCCAGATATTCATAATCATCAAATTCATCAGTATATCCTCCTTTCCCAACTTGAGAAAACAATGTTATATTATGATAATGTGGCATACAATGCAGCACAAGCGTCTGAATACTCTTCGCTATCTGGGTCCAGCAGATGGGCCTTTTCATAGTTCTTCAGTGCTGTGACGTCCCGTCTTTCTTGCTGGTGGATGAACCCGAGCAAACCATATCCAGTGGCATCCTTTGGATTTTGGGATATCATGGTTTCTGCAAGGCTTTTCAGTGCTCTGATGGCAGATTCTCTGAATATTGTTTGATTTTGTATCTCTATCACTTCCTTAAAATGATTTACTGCTTCAGACTCTGACTTTCTAGAACTCATTAAATATTGTGCCCACCTAAGATGTAGCTCTTGTTTCTGTTCATATAGAAGATTACTCATGGTCAAAGTTTTGTCAAATTCTTCTTCGGCCTTTTGGTATTTATTTGCTCTTATATATATGTCAGCCAATAGAATGTGAGCTGCCACAGATGACTTATTAAGCTCGACAGCCTTTTTAGAGTGAAACATGGCATTTGAAATGGCTTCACCATTTGGCTGACCGTCTAATCCTCTGTGTTTATAAATAAATATTTTGTAACACTTGGCAAGCTGATAATGAATAGCACAGGTATTTGGAGTTAAACTATCTACCTTCTTAAACACTTCAATAGCTTTTACAGTATTTCCACTTCTTTTGTAAAACATTGCCACATATCGAAGGACATATGGGTTTTCAGGTTGTTCTAGTAGAGCTTGTTCTATTAACATAGTTGCTTGTCTATAGTTCTTCAGATCTAGATATTTCAAAGCAAGGAGAACCTTCACCACTGTATCACTGGGATTGAATTGAACAGCTCGTTCCAAGAGTGGAACAGATTTGTAAGATGGTTTACTGAGGAAAGCAAAACCTTCCATTCTATACACAGCGAGGGCATAGCCTGAATTCAATTCTGGATCTTCTGGGTCGAGTTCCAGAGCTTTTTCAAAGCACTCAGCAGCCCGTTGATAGTAATTTCCTGTAAATGACATATAAGTCCAGCCTTGTTCACCATATATGTCTAACAGAAGAGTTTTTTGCATTGCAGGAGACTCATATTTCTGTAAAATGGTCTGCACCTTTTCAGCATAGGTGAAACCCTTGTCAACCTGGTTCTGGTGGTAATAAACCCAGGCAAAATTACCATACATTACAACTCTCTTCACGTCTGTGTCTTCAGATGTGCTGGACGCTGGTATTCCTGATTCTGCTTTTTGCAGCTGGAGCAAGGCTTCATCATGGTCTCCTTTAAGATGCTTTAGGTAAGCCAGGATGTTGTACTTCCTGTGATTGTATGCATCTGGCAAAAACACAACCTGGTAATTTAGCCGTTCTTCCACATAATCAATGTCTTTTTCATTGATTATATTCATTTCATCATTCCATCTTCTCCACACAGGTTCCAAGTAAAATGGCATTTTAGTTCCAGTAGACGATCCTTCAAGGAATTCCTAGAACTGTCACTGAAAAATGAAACATGAAGAGAACAATGTATTACAATAATGATAGGAGAACTTGCTTGGGTTTGATTCGCATTTGTGTAGAGGCGGCTCTAGACTTTTTGAGGAGGCCTTAGACGAAACTTAAACGTGAGGCCCCAACTTACACTCATAATGAATAAAATGCAAACAATAGTTGGAAATAAACTGTGATGGCCAGTGATGATAGAGGCGGACGTCCAGCGGAGGGGTCCAGGGTTGGTGCAAGGATTTTTACCTACTTTGTATGAAAATCTGTGCACAGTATATTTGGTATGAATTCCTAGACTTCATGCATTGAAGGGCAACATTAAAACACAATTTGTTTTAAAAAGCTGTTAAAATTGCCAGAAAATTCATTCATTTGTAAACAAACAGATGGGGATTCTCTTCATTTATTTAAGGGGGATCCCCACCCCCCAAAAAATATATGGTGGTCCCCCCCTTCAGTTCTGCTATGGATTTGAAGAGGGACCTCACACACAAAAAATAAATGACCAGTAAAAGCTACATGTTGAGTCCTATGTATAATTCTGCTCCAAAGAAACAGCTAATAGGGTAAGAAATATTTTTTTTAAAAGTGATTTTTCAGTATGCCGTGTGGATGGGAACAGGTAACAAACATACAGTGGGGGTTCTCACATTTGACTGCAAAAGTGGAAGTACACTTTAATTTGAACATCTTACATACAGTGACATGCTGAACTAATTAGAAATGGGAAGCTCGGATCTTAGAAATGAATTGGTTCATTTTGAACGGTTCATTCAAATGAACCGATCCATGAATCGAATCATCGGTTCACTTGCTGAGTCGGCTGACAAGCAAGTGAGCCGAAGCTCAGGAAGCTGTGTGAACCTTCATAAAAGATCCGAATCAGAAGACTCTGATTTAGAGAAGGGGGGCAGTTCTTGGGGAACGGAACTCTGATGAGCTGATGTCACATTGGCAGCGATCAGATTTGTCCCTAGAGTTTAGAGCGCAATAACGATTGGATTTACTACCACAGGTAGTGCGTCCACGGTACTAAAGTCGTATCGTTGTTCCCACCCATGCGCTGTAAAGACTATGGAGAAATCTGACCGCTATCAATGTTAGCTCTAACATCACCTCATCAGAATGCGGAGCGCATGCGCAGTAACATGCTTTTTACTGTCAGCTGATCGCGTGTCACCAGAAGTGACGACATTGGCTGATCTGATAGAATGGCTGGTCTGACATAAAACCAAACTTTGACATCTCTGAGCCAAGGCACTGATCAATGTTCCCCAGGAGCTGCCCCGCTTCTCTGAATCAGTCTTCTGATTAGGATCTTTTATGAAGGTTCAGACTGCTCCTGAGCTTCAGTTCACCTGTCAGCCGACTCAGCAAGTGAACCGAAGAACCAATTAATTTTAAGATCAGAACTTGCCATCTCCGACTCACGAGTCAGAGCTGTTGATTCACATATGCGCTTGGTTGCAGGGAGGGGCTGGGCGGGGCTGGCAGGAGCCGAGCTCTCACTCTAGGAACATATTACAAGAGCCGTGCAGTGGCAATATAAAAGTAGTATGCCAAACTGAAAACATCTACTGTATATAAAGTATACACTTCGGGCCTGTTCCCAATAGCCCATTCGCTAAAACAAAACGTTTTAGCAGGCAGGCTAGTGTGTTGTGACAGCTGCGGCAGTGTACCATGTATCATACACTGCCAGAGTTGTCACACAACAAACTGTACACTCCATTCAGGTACCCACACAGCAGCGCATATCTGCATTTTTTTGCAGCGCACTGCATACTGCACCACAGATCACACCTGTGTTGTGGTGTGAATGGGGCACATAGATAACAATTGTTTTCTATCAAATGAAAAACAATAATAAAAACAAACATAAATACCTATGCAAGCAAAAAACAAAACACAAAAGGTTATCCAAGGATATAAAGAATAAAGTAAAAGTATCCTTTAGAAATATATATATATATATATATATGTGTGTGTGTATATATATATATATAT